TATCCTGGGAAGGAACTCCTAGAACTTAACTCACTGGGTTGTTTTGAGGATTAAGTGACACGTTTCTCAACTGCTTAGCTTAGTGCCCATGGAAAACCTTAATGGTAAGTTAAAATAAAGAACAGTTTTTTCTAATAGCTTAAGAAAATATTTGAAAATATAAATAAATGGTGATCCTCTTGTCTTTCCAGGACATATAATAAAGATTTAAGAAAGTCTTATTTTTTACCTTAAATCTCTTTTCTGGCTGTGGGCTAGAAACATTTCTTCTTTCCTTCTCTGTTCTCCTTAGCCCTTCTGTCCTCTGCCCCGCACGCGTTTTGGGTTGTATCAGAAGTTCATTTCTGACTCTAGTCTCTGTAATCTTTCCTAATATGATAAATTTTCTTCACAGCCAACTTGTCTAGCTTTTAGTTAAAAGTTTGTGATGTTTTCAAAGGAGATTTAATTTTTTATAGAATAATGAACATATATAAGTGACACTTACAGTGGAGATTTCCATCTTTTTCCCTTCTGCCCTTTGCATGTATGATTTTGATTAATGAACTAGTGGTTTCCTGGTTTTTAGAAGGGCATGAATTGTAGAAGTAGGAACAAATCTGTTCGCTCATTCATTTACATCAATCTAGTGGCATTAACAGTAGAAGATCCTATAACATCCTTTACTCAAAATCTGACCCTCTGTAAACGTCCTGCAAAAATGCTTGGCCTAAGTGCTTGAAGATCCATGCTTAAAGATATTTGTGCATCACTGTAATAGCAAAAATGGAAATTATCAGTAGGGGACTGATAAACTGATATGTAAAAATGCATAGCTGTTAAAAATAAATATGTATCATTTGTTGCAAAATTCATACTGGGGAATTTTATAGATTATATGACTTGGTTTTTTTTCCACCAAGTTGTAAGGAAAACAAAGGGATGGAGGGGGCACCTGTAGATTATAAGACTTGAAAGCTATTCTCAGTTTTAAAAGATGGACAGATTGTTTATGGATGCACATTTTGCATTTATTATAAACACCGGGACAGTTGTTGCTTTTGTAGGGAGGGAGAGGGCTGTGATTGGAACAGGGCAGGTGGAGGGCTTTTGGGCGAGCTGGACAGCTTCGGGTCTGGGGTTTGATTTTACCCCAGTTAGAAGCTAATAGTTAGCCTGTTACAGTTTCATGGATGCTGGCAGAAGACATGAAACTTTGGAGTTTGAAACAAAGACTTTGCTCTTAGTGGCACAATGAGCTCCATTGAGCATCATGTTTTTATTGCCTCTCCATGCTCCCCGAGTCCCACAGGGGTGACATGGAGGACCCAGATGGGTGCCTGCAAATGCAGTGGATTGTATTACAGGACAGTGATACTGAAGTTGAGGAACCTGCTTGTTTATAGCAAGCTGTAAGCAAGCCTACCTACTCTCTGTCCCAGAGGGAGACCTTACGTTTTCCTCAAAGTTGCCTGAGCAAATACAACCCTGAAAAATGACCCAAGCACAGAGTGATCAGGCCCTTGGGTTCATGGAATGCCTAGCCATGAAGTGCGAGAAACCTCAGGGCCCATGGCAGATGGCTTCTTCCACCACCAAGTTGGAAATAGGGTCATTGCAGATTTAATTAGTTAAGATGAGTCCTATGGAGTAGGGATTCCTGGGGTGATTCAATATGACTGTTGCCCTTATCAAAAGGGGAACTTTGGAGACAGGATACTGGAAGGTGTGCTCAGGGTTCCCCTAGTGTTTTCCCTATCCCAGCCGTAGAATCAGCCATTTCTGTAAGGAGCCCTGGTTTCTTTATTTGAGAATGACATTTAGAAATCAAGATCTAAGCTCTAGGAGTGTTCTTTGCTATTTGGGTATCATGACTTTCTCTTGGGGGATAGAGCCAGTAAGTATAGGGGAACACACACACACACACACACACACACACACACACACACTGTATCCACACACACACACACACACTGTATCCTAACCCATGTGTAAATACATGTCTCTAATTGTTTCTGTATTTGTCCTGTGTGTGTGTGTGTGTGTATAAACATGAGTTCATACTGATGTTTCTGACTTTAATTTAGTACCACGAGGCAGGGTTCATTTTAGCCATCCCTGTTTGCATATCTGTACCTGTCCTCCTGACAGAGGCTCTGGCTGTTTCTTGTTTAACCCCAGCATGCAAGCAAAGCAGTTTTAAAATTATTAACCACCTCCCATGAGAAACAAACTTACCAACTAGAGCGTCATGCTGATGTATAGCTGCTTTTGTATTTACCCTTACAGTCCCCACCAGATCACTGTTAGGGTGTCCACCCTCCCACTACCGCTGCGGTCACTCCAGTGAGGTTAGGTCATACATGAGCAGCTCAGTTAAGACTCACTTGTCACAGCCTCCTTCTGGGGCAGAGAGTAGGCTTGCTTACAGCTTGCTATAGTCAGGCAGGTTCCTCAAGTTCAGTATCACTGCCCTGTAATACAACCCACTGTATATGCAGGCGTCCATCTGGGCCCTCCATGTCACCCCTGTGGACCTCGTTCCCTTCCTCACTTCCCTGCCCATGTAGCCTTTGGTTCTGTGTGGAAAATGAGGGGGAGTATTTAGCTATATCCACTTCCCTCTCCCACCCAGCACTACGCAGCAGAGCTTTCCCCAGTCTTCCTGGGGCAGCCTGATTGGATTCGAGGAAAAGGCAGCCAGAGTGAGAACTCTTCATGACTGTGACTCGCAGGAGTGTCAGACTATCACATTTGCCCACACTTGGCCTCCAGCAAGTAATCGAAAATTCTAGTTAGCTTTCCTAAAGGCTTCTCTGCCTGAGGTATGCAAATATTCTGGTCCTGGGTCTCTCTGAAGGCACCTCTCTTCAGATTTTATGAGGCCCCTGTGACAGTTTTCTGACTGAGCTCAACAAAAGTCATTAATCTGTAGTCTGTTCAGCTTCCCTCCCCCGCCCTTGCTATAAAATCCAAAGGAAAATCTTTTCTGCTCTCAACATTTCTGAGCTGAAACCAAATAATAGAGTTTTAAAAGATTGCCTCTGGTACCGGTGATAATTTATGTTAAATTGTTCGGTGAAAACAATCATGAAAATTTTTATTTTGGCTGACAAATCTGACTTGGTTCAAATAATGCTTTGAAAAAATGTGTTGTCAACCTTGACTGATGTAGCTTAGTGAGATGGGTGTCATCCCGCAAAGGGAAGGGGAAAGGGTGTCACCCTGCCAGTTCAGTTCAGGCCAGGGCACACGCCTGGACCTGTGGGGGCGTGCGAGCGGCGACCCATTGGTGTTTCTCTCCCACAGTGATGTTTCTCTCCCTTTCTTTTTCCCTCCTTTCCCTCTCTCTAAAAATAAATAAATAAAATCTTTTAAAAAAATGTGTTTTCAGACTGTTTTTCCTACACTGTAGTAGTTTATGCTTCTCCAGTATGTCTGTTTCCACATATTCTGGATATTACTGGATATCAAACTTTTTGACATTTGTGAATTTGTTTAAAAATATATTTAAAAATACTTATAGTTTTAAGTTTTAATTTGAAAAGATGCAATTATTTTTTGTTGTTTTATAGCTTTACTTGTAACCCTTTCAAGTGAATATAAATTATTTTTTTCTGGTAATTAAAAAAATTAATTCCAACATTAAATATATAACATGATTTTATAAAGGAGGTCTTAAACCTTGTGTAAAGATATTGCTTAATGCTGTCAAAATACGGACTTTCGATGGAACTACTACCTTTTGTGACAACCTGGATGGAACTGGAGAATATTAAGCTAAGTGAAATAAGCCAGTTGATAAAAGACAAATACCATATGATCTCACCTGTAAGTGGACTCTATTCAACAAAATAAACTAATGAACAAAATAAACTACAGGCAAAGAAACATGGAGCAGACTGAGAGTGACCAGAGGGGAGGGGGAAAGAGGACAATGGTGGAAAGAAGGGGAAGGGACTAGACAAAGAACATGTGTGAATGACCCATGGACATGGACAACAGAGTGGGAATTGACTGTGGGAGCAGGGGGTGAGGATGGGATGCGTGGAGGGGGTAAAGCGGTAAAAATTGAGACAACTGTAATAGAATAAACATGATTTATAAATTAAAAAAATAAAGGTAAAAAAACAAAAAAATGATCTTTAAGAAAAAAAAATACAGACTTTAAGGTTTTATTCGATTTTTGTTAATAAGTATGCATTCTCCAGTTAAAAATTTTCAGTTAAGCCGACATTCAGTTTTATATTGTGCATTGTTCCCATGTGAAGGTTAAAGCATTGTCCTTAAAGGAATGTAGGTTGTGCCATTACCCCGACAGCTGTATATAGCAGAGACCTGGGAAATTGCTGTATAGTTTAAAACATGTTACTTCCAGAAATTATGTTAGTACTATATTACATGAGCACTGAGACCTGATGATTAAGTTATGGTGTGTGAGGCCCTTATGTAAGTAAGCATATAGGCAAATTCTTCACAGCTATATGACATGTATGTCCGTCATTTTATTATCTGGCTTCACACTAATTCTCCCTACTTACCCATCACTCATTTCTTCACCTGGTGTTTATTCTGCTCAGGTTTAACATCTTAATATTTTCAAATATATTCTCTAGGATTCTCACTCTTCTTTTTCTTGGCATACATGAAAGCCCAGCTCAAGTATCATCTTTTTTCCCCAAGTTGTTCGTAGCTACTGTAGACTGAATTATTTGCTCTTTCTATTTGTCTTTGCCTTCTAAGTACCTAATATATTGCTTGGTATATAGTAATAAAGTAAAAGACTTAAGATTTTATGGTTCAAGTTGACTTAGTTCACTTAGAAATAAAAATTAAAAGATTTAAGAGGTATGTTGAGTTTGTTTTGGAATCTCAATAACTTTAGAAATCTTTGTCAGATATACTTAGTTATCCATTTGATTAGTTACCATTAACATTGTGTGAAAGATTTATATTTTTTGTGTGTGTTTTGATGCTTGCGACAAAAACTTGATAAATTTTAATGTTACTTGTTTACACAGAGTATGTCCAACCACACGGATGCAGCACAAGAAGTACTATTAGAAAGAAAAGGTTGTGGAGGAGTGATAACACTAAACAGACCAAAGATGCTAAATGCGTTGACTCTTAATATGACCCGGCAGATTTATCCACAGCTAAAGGTTTGTAATTTTTTTTAGAGCAATTATATAGATTATTTTGAATGTATATCTTAATAGTACATTTCTGGTACTCTCCCATAGAATCATTGGACTGTCTGGGATCAGCTCCCAAGCTCCATTGATTCTTGAGTCTTCAGTGCTTTCCCTATGTGGTTAACCCAAGCACCCCTAGTGACAGAGAGTTCATTGCCTCATGAGACAGCTTCCTCCACTTTTCCATAGCTCTAAGTTTCTTCTTGTGTTCTGCCACTCCTTATTTCTCTGACCTTTTAACCAGTGATGATGGTTCTGATTCTTGGGATATGAGTGTACAAATCTAATCTGCTTCCACATGACAGCTTTTTGATTTGAATACAACTGTTTTTTAACTGCTTGGCCAGCTTTTATTAGAGAAGGCCATATGCTTTTCTATTCTGTGTGAACTGCACGTGCAGTGAAGTACTTTAGTTTGAAACTTGGGTTTCTATTTATTAACCATGTAGATTGGGAATGCCAGTCACTGTGTGTCTCTCCTCAGCTATGCAATAGGGATGATAATATTTCATAGGATTGTGAAGATGAAGTAAAATAGTGTACCTAATATAGTCAGCCACATAGATGTTACACAAAAACTAGCTCTCCCTTAGTCACCTATTTCTTAGTTGTTCATTTGATGAGTCTCTCCCATTTTGCTGTGTCGATTTGGAATACCTTATAATATGTCCTTAAAGGTGATACAGAGAAATACGCTAAGTGTTCTAGATTAGAGTTGGACCACAGTGGAAGAAATAAGAAACTTCCATGTTAGAATGACATATTTCTACTAGTATAGTCCAATATTGCATTAACCTTTTGTACTTCTTAAAAATTTTATTGATTTGAGAGTGAAAGGGAGAGAGGTACATTGATTTGTTGTTCCACTTATTTATGCATTCATTGGTTCTTGTATGTGCCCTGATGGGATTGAACCCACAACCTTGGCATATTTGAACGGCGCTCTAACTAATTGAGCTTCTCGGCTAGGGCATGCATTAACCTTTTGGACAACCACAACTGTCCAGCTACATCTCTTCCTTGTGCATTTATATGTTTATTCTCAAGTGTAGAATTTATAGAGCTCTGTTAATATTTCTGTCTCTAATTAATTAATTTGGTGTTGGTCCCTTGCTCTAGTATTTTGAATTAACATTGGCTCTTGATTCTTTCATCCTCCTTAATTATTAGCTGCCCTTACCAACACCGAATTAACTTCCAGATTTGATTTATATAATTGTTCTTACAAACTTTTCAGTGGGACAGAACCCTATATCACCACAGTAGAAAGGTTATTGCTCTGTTTATCAACAGACTTTGGATTGATTTGTTCAGGTTTCTAAGCTTATGTAATATATAGTATTATTAAGCCTGTATTTTTTCTTTTACCTTGGTCTAAAAGTTGTCATGGCAAAGATTGCAGATGCCATCATGAAATCTGGATCATAGTATGTAGTCATCTAGCAACTTTTTTGGAATAGCCTCTAATTTATGTCAGGAAAGAAAATGAAGTTGGGATTCATTCTTCTGGATATGCTTCATAAAGCTTATGCTTTATATATATATGGCTATACACACAGGATGGGGCAAAAGTAGTATATCCATATACTGTGTCTGTCTGTACATATATATATATATATATATGTATATATATGTAGCTGTGCAAGTGGATATGTCTTTAATGAGTTTGTAGTCATAATATGCTTATACCATCTTCTTTTCAGAAGTGGGAACAAGATCCTGAAACTTTCCTGATCATAATAAAGGGAGCTGGTGGAAAGGCTTTTTGTGCAGGGGGTGATGTCATAGGTAAAAACTTTTTTTCCCTCTCACCTAAATTTTTTTTTGCCTCAGTAGAACAGATAAAGTATTAACAAATTTTTGTAGTACTTCATAATTTGTGTTACTTTCTAGGTATTTTTTGTTTTGTTATATTCTCATATACTTAACTTAGAAAAAGGAAAAATTTAAAGACTTACCTTTTGTAGTTTATATTAGAAATATGAGGAGAAGAATGAATTTAAAAAAAAACAACCCTGCACAAATTAGACTCATAGATACAGAGAACATTTTGAACAGTTGCCAGATGGGAGGGGAATTAGGGGAAAGAATGAAAAAGGTGAAGGGATTTAGAAGTACAAACTGGCAGTAACAGAACAGTCGTGGGGCTGCAAAGTACAGCACAGGGATGACAGTCAGTAAGATTCTAATAACTTCGTGCGATGTCAGATGGGGCCGCGACTTACCGGGATGATCCCTTAGTAAGTTATACAACGTCTAATCCTTGGGTGTACAACTGAAACTAATATAATATTGTATGTTAACTGTAATTGGAAAATAAAAAATGATTAAAAAAAGAAAATGCTACTAAACCTACGCCCTTCAGATATCTTGTCTCCCTCCCTGAATCATCCCATACAGAATGTCTAGTTATGGTATGTGAATCCACTTTCTATTTTAGAATAGCAGAGATTAAGCAGTTCCGTTTGTCACATAAACTGACAATCTGGCCATGTTGAGTGACTTGCCAGTCTCCAGGCATTACATACTTTCATGTATTTCCATGACTTTGCCTGTATGTTCCCACTGTTCATGTTTCTGAAGCCAGAATGTACTTAATTATAGTGTTTTCCTATGTATTTTTAATATATTATGTGTGTTTAAATAAACATGATGGGGTAAATAAGAAGATTAATTCTCTTTATCTTTCTAATTGTTTAGGTCAATCTGTCTTACACATTTAACTATTAAAGACAAAAGAGAAGAATATTTGCTCTCAGGACCAATGTCATGTACTAACTGTTACCACAACTGGTTGTCAGTATTTGATATATATTAAAAACTGCTTTTACATTTTGTGTTCTTTTTCTTATGGAATTGGTAGGGTCCAAGGATGGTTTTTTCTTGTATTTTTATTTTGTATATTTGTGTTTTGTATTGTGTTAGGACAGTCATGTTTAGGTACTAAATTTACGAGTTTTTGTAAACCATTACATTTGGAATAGGAAGAAACAAGATTGATTCAGGATGTAATTGCAAATATTTTATTAAATTGAAAGAAAAAATAAAGTAAGTCTTAAAACTACAGTTCGAAATTTTTGATGGCTTAGATTAATTTGTTAACTGAGTTGTTTTTGAAATTTTTTTGCCCACAAAATGAATATTTTTAAAACATTGTTTTTCAGCCTGGAATTAACCTTTCTTTTGGAGCTGAGCTTAGGATCTTATCAGTTTAAAGATGGGCAGAGCCTTATGTATTGATTTTAGTTTCTTCTGTGAGCTATTTTTACATAAAGGCCTAACTTTATATTAATGTTTGGAAATACAGTTACAAATTCTAGAATTATTCTAGTTTACATGAAATAATGCAGTGGCTTCAATTCCAGGAAATTTAGTTTCTTTAAAGATCATTGTTCAAGATGAGAAGTGGATATTCAGAGAAAAAAATTTTAAGTGATATTATGAGCATCATTTAATTTTACTTTATATAGGAAACAGTTGATTAAAATAATATTAGGAGGAGCTCTAAGAAGAACTTTGATGTAAAAGAGTTTCAACATGTATTACAATTTATACGCTTTTCCTTTTAGAATTGGGAAGTAGTGATAAGGACTGAATAAAAGACAATAAATGATTTTTTGGAGGGAGGGCATATATCAGGGAAAGCTTCAGAATGACAAAAGATATTAAACCTTTCTTTTAAAAACCAGGAAAAGAAGTCAACATTTGTAACATTTTAAAGGAAGATAATATCGGAGTGCTAGAGTTAGTCTAAAACTATAAATAGTCAACAATTTTTGTGTAACTCTTTCCCATAAAAGAAGAAACATGCAAATATTGTGCCTTTTTAAGTACTCCTTCCTCTACTCAAATCTTTGCCCTCGTCATTTTCTAGGAAATGCCTATCTATTGTTCAGACTTGGCTCAGACTAGTCTTCTGGGAAGACTTCTTTTTTTTAAATTTTTTTTTGGAATTAATTGATTTGTATTTAAAAGGAACTGTTGACAAAGAGTCACTGAAAATAATCTGAACAAATGGGAAAATACAGTTAATAATATTGAAACACTACTAAAATAATTCCAGGACATATGGTTTATCTGATATCTTAGATGTTGTCATTGATACAAAACCTGACTGCTTTTTACTTTTCTAAACATGCAGTGGTATAGTTAACAATATTCCATCACTTCTGTACTTCCCTAAAATTCAAAACAGATAAAATTCTTAGAAGATACATGCAATAAGCTCTACTAAGCAGCTGGCCACAGAACTAGAACATTGGATAACTGGTGATTTCAGTAGTATTCCAGATGTTTCCAAACTCAACCTGAACTCTCATTTTAGGGTTTGTGTTTTGCTTTTCCAGTTTCACTAATAACATAAACATGATTCAGATGCCTGAAGTATTCATTATAGTCAAGGGCATATCCTACAACAAACTTGTCTGGAACTTCAAATTCAGCAAAGTCTGGTCTATATCCAACACTTCGGGGGTACTTTTTATCAGCAAGTTTGCGACCTTGATCGTCTTCGGATTATGCTGCTTGAACAAGGAAAGCGAGGTTTACATTGTTTTACCAGTGTCAATTTTATCTTGAACAATCAAATTATTTCCAATTAAAGTTGAGAGATCATCTCCACCAATTTTATATCCCCTGGTGACTGGTCATTACATAACTCTTCAGTCTGAGAAAATCTACAGTCATAGGAATGGATCTATCACTATTTCTGTTCCGTGCTTTGATGTAATCCAGCAGGTCAGCGAAGCATTTAAGCCCCTCCCCGCTCCTTGAGCATGCAGAGGGCTATGATGTGATGGCCTCCCATCTCCTTCATCACATCTCAGGCAAGCCATTTGGCCCTGTCTGTAATCAGCCCACGAGGAATAAATGTCTTTTCCAAATCCTCAGCGTAATGATCAGGTATACAGAATAAATCTAGGTCATAACCTGGTTCATCACCACTAATCACAATGTTGAGGCTGTGAGTCACTTGGGAAGACTTCTTTTAATTACACCTCTCCTGCTCCCATTCCTACAGTACCCTGCCTTATAGTAAGCATAGCACTAAGACTGTACTTTAGTAATCTTCTTTCTCATTAGTCCGAACTTCAAGGCAGACATCTTATATTGCTATCTTGTTGTGTAGAGCATCTAAAACAGTGCATGATACTTAGTAGATGCTTAGTAAATGTTTCATGATGAAATGAATGTGACAAATATTTAACTACATGGAATACGTATATTTCCCTGTGTGTGTATGTATACTTTGAATTAGGATATATTACCAAAGGAAATGTATATCGAGGAAATGTTTATTTAGGTGCTGCAGAAAACAGTTAAAGGAAAAATGCATTTTGTAGCAATATATAACTACTAATTTAAGTGTAACACTTCGTAAGAACTTCTTAAGAATTTTTGCCTTGAAGTTTTGACACTGGACTACGGACTGGGGTTAACTATAATATGCCTGTGGCATGGACAACTTTGAAACATTAACAGATCATTACTGAGTATTATAATATTTTAAATTTATTTGATTATAATTGACTAGAAAACACTTTTTTAAAAAAATTTGTAATCCTTCTTTCCTTTTATTTTTTTTGGTAACGGTGTCAGCAATTGCAAAGGGAGAGCGGAAGATAGCTCAGGATTTCTTCAGAGAAGAATACATGCTAAACAATGCCATTGGTATGTGTGCTCTGTGAGAGCTTTGAAAATGGAATCAAGAAAATCAGCCGCAGAACGAATTATTAAAAATGCAGTCAGTAGACACTCTTATTTGATGTTTTATATACTATGTTCCAGGTATAAATACATTTGACTAAACTATTCTGATTGCTCATTTCAAAACAATTCACATTTTAATATTATTAATATTAGTACGCTATACTTACCAACTATTTGTCATTCAGTCAATATGAAAACAGGATTCTGATCCTGTGGCTGGCTTTCTTGAGGGGAAAAAAAACTTGGGTTACAGTTTCCTCTGTAAAATGAAGTATCATTTCCTAATTCTTGCAGAACTTTGGGATGAAAATTTCTTTATAGTTGATGTTGCAGATTTTAGTGGAAGTGAAGCAGTAGTTTTACCAAGCATGTGTTTCAGATGTTAAATTACAGGACATAATACAATAAGTACTTGTGTAACCACCAGCCCAGAATGAACAGACATCAGTATTTTATTTTTGCTTGAAGTTTTGTAATTTATATAAAAGAAATATAATTCTACAAGTTTTAAAATTATAGTTCAGCTTATTTTGTTGCTTTCCTCAGTGCCATTTCTTTCTCTCCCCAGAAACAACCATTATCCCTCTTTAGAAGCAACCATTGTCATTAATTTGTAGTTTATCCTGCTTGACCATACTCTATATTTTTACTACATATTCATGAGCAAAAATAGTATTACTTTGTTTTTTTTGTTGAAATTTACATAAGTACTGTTATACTGTATATATCATTTCTTAAATTTAATAACATGGGATATAACTATTCTTTAGTATTCAGTATTATGAATATATCCCACATATTTATTCTGCATTAATGGATAATTTGCATATCAAATTTTTTTTACCAGTACAGGTTGTTTTATCTTTATATATGTCCCCTTCATGCCCATGTGAAAAAGTTTCTCTAGGGAATAATAGAAACAGAATGAATGGATCATAGCATTCATACATCTTCAGTTTGTTTCCAAACTCTTCACTAAACTCCAAGACTATTTTCTAACCATCCTTTTCATTTTTTGTTGTTTAACTTTGCATGTTCAATATTTTATTGTGCCTTTTATTTGTACTAAATTGAACAATGGTGAGGTGGAAGGTGTTTTCTTATGTTAATTAAGCAGTTAGATTTTATTTTCAGTTTTATTCCTTATTCATCTTTCTATTGGATTTTTTGTCTTTCTGACTTTGTAGGTCTTTTTGTATTCTGGATTCTTCACTTTTGTAGATTATACCTATTAAAGTCCATTTCTCTGAGCCTGATGCTTTAAGTTATCTTTTGGTATTTACAGGTTTTTTTGTCAATATTTGATGGGATGAAATGTACCCCTTTTTTCTTTTGTGATATCTGCTTTTGCATTGAAGAAAAGCACTTAATAATGACGTTATTAAGATGTTCTCTCATCTATTCTTCTAATAGTTTGAATATTTTGTTTCTTTATACTCTGTCGTTCATGTATTTGAAATATTTTTGCAGATGACATCTAACTTTTATATTCCAGCTAGGAAGCCAGATGTTGCCATATCTTTTATTAAAAAGCATATACCTTCCTCACTGATTTTAATGATACCTCTACCATATATCATGTTCTTATATATGACCAGGTCTGTGTCTGGGCTGCCTTGTTCATTGATCTATTTGCTCGTACTTAACGTTGAAACTACAGTGTCAAAATTATTACAGCTTTCATATATGTCTCTATGTGCTACAACAATTTGCCCTTGTTTTCTTTTAGAATTGTCTTGGTTGCTCTTGGACTTTAGAACTTACATATGAATTTTAGAATTATTTTGTTTGATTCCACAAAAGATTCTATTGAGATTTTGATTGGAATGGTAATGAATTTTAGATTAATTTTGGGAAAATTCACATCTCTTATAAGAGTCTCCTCATTCATGAATGTGGCACATCTCTTTTCTTATTCATGTAGAAGACTCAAAAATAATTCACGTGTTATAAAATTCAACCATTCTAAGTATAAACCAGTTTTAGAACATTTTCATGGGGTTGACTTTCATGTCCTTTCATTACGTTTTTGTAATTTTCTCCATGAAGGTCTTCCTTTTTAAAAAAGTTTTATTCTTAGTAGCTTATGTTTTTTGTTACTTCATTTAATGGTAATATTCCTGTTACATTTACTAATTGACTATTTATGGCATATAGAAATGCTTTTAATATTTTGTTCCTATATTTGGAGACCATGCTGAAATTTGTTATTAATTCTAATGCTATTTCTGTAGTTTAGGCTTTTCTCCTAAGCAGTTCTACCACCTACACATAATTTTTTTCTCATCTTTCCAGTTTTTATATTTATGATTTTTCTTGCTGTATTTTGACTAGGACTTGTTTTATAATGTTGAATAATTGTAGTGTAAAGAATTTCATTCTTTAGTATAATCTTTTTGTAGACACTTTTTACTAGGTTATCGGTGTTACTTCCATTCCAAATTTGTTAGGGATATTTTGTTTTGTTTGTTTAGATGCACTGGTGGTAGTGGTTGTTGTCTAGTGTTCAAGCTTTCTCTGACTTTTTTCTCTTCTGGCACAAACTTAATTGAGTTTTTCTAGTCAAGTTTTACATATTGAATAGCTATTCCTAACATGAAGCTTTGTGTGGGTAGCTCATCGTATAAGATATGTGGTCAAGAATTTATTCCCAGCTGAAAAATCAAATACATACTCATAATCTTTGGCTATAACTGCTACTCAGCTACTGATTTGAGTTTCTTATTTATATCTGACATGTGGGGATTTCCATTGTTTTGCTTTGAACTTGGATATACATTATTTTTTTCTAGAATTTCTATGTGTTTTAAGTAGGAGTGGGAGAAAGACTGCTTCCCACTTTGGCTTGTGAGCTAAATTGAATGGACATTTCTCACTTCTTTAAATCTAAAATTGTACTTACCAAATTTACTTAGAGTGTTTTCTCCCTTCTAAAAGTGCCTACTAGTACTGTCCATTAGGATTTTCTGCAGTGATAAAATATCCTATATGTGTGTTGTGCAGTGATAATCCACTAGCCACATGCGGCTAAGGAGCACTTGATGTGAGGCTAGTCTGATCAAGAAACTGAAGTTTAAATTCTATTTAATCATAAGTAGTTAAATCTAAATAGCTAAATTTAGCTAGAGGTTACAATTTTAGACAGTGTGTGGATCTATACTAACCAAAAGGAGATGGAAAAAACAGAGCTCTAAGTAGTTTGAAAAGAGAGTTTGGCAAAATGTTAATGTATAGAGAAAAAACCTTCAAAGTATATTTCTGTACATTGTAATGACAGTTTAATCAACAAAGAACTTGACAAATTCAGGCTTCATGTTGTGCACCAGTTATTCGGATATTTTATATCTGAAATATATGTATCTATAATCAATAGAGAAATTTCTTTCCAACCTGGCCAGGTTGCTCAGTTGGTTAGAGTGTTGTTCGCAGTATATCAAGGTTGCAGGTTTGATCTCGGGTCAGGGAATATACAAGAAAGAATAAATAAATGCATAAAACAAGTGAAACAACCAACAAATTGATGTTTCACTTTCCCTCTAAAAAGTCAGTCAATAAAAACAATTTTTAATTAAAAGAAATTTGTTCCCTAGTTTCTAGGGAATTATAGTTCAAAATTGAAGGCTATGGATGTCCTTGTCAATATGAAGTTAGATTTGTGCTTTGGTAGCCTATTTAGTAAATTGAAAATATTTATGGAAGTGCTAGATGGATCAAAACTGCAGTGTTATATTTGTCTTAGGTAAGGAAGTAACACTGACAACAAACTGTAACAGAAGCTCAGCGATTTACATTTTTTGTTATGTTGTGAGCAATTCCCTTTCTCAGGGAAAAAAGGGAAAGGAACAGAATAAAAGTTTATAGAATTCTTGAGCTGGAAGGGACTTCTGAGGCCATATATTGTCTTATCATGTAATAGATGAGGAAACATCTATATATTATGTATGTGGTATGCACATATATGACATGCATATAACTTGTGTGTTTATACACACATATAAATATGTATATTTATGCCTAATGTCAGCCAGTATGTCTATTGCATATAGTTGAAGTACTAATTAATGACAAAGCTGAGACTATGCTCTGGGGCTTTTGATTTCCAGTCCATGCTTTTTCCTTTAGGCTACACTGCTCTTTGAACCCAGCTACTACTTCAGATGTATAGAAAACAAATTATGTTCTTTAAAATACAACTGTGTATATAAACATCAGTGGCTTACAGGGTAGTTCATTCTATTTCTCAACAGCTGAATTAAACAAGGCTTTCATTTGTTTCCAATGGAAGTGTTGAGTTCTTAAATGATAATGAACAAATGATCAGGATTGTTTATGGACTGACATTTTAAAAAGAACACTTTACAAGCCATACGTTTAGTCTTACCTATCTTTTGCAAAAAGTTCCCTGGGAAAATACTCAGAGTTCATGTGACATGTAATTTTGGGGGAAAAAAAGAATTATTATTAAACATTACAACTAATTACAGCTCTGTTTCTTTTAGGTTCTTGCCAGAAACCATATGTTGCACTTATTCATGGAATTACAATGGGTGGGGTAAGTAGACTGTTTTACTCTCATTGTTAATATGTGAGTTGTATTAGAAGTAAGTTAATTATTAAGTGGAAGTGAAGCAATGAATATAATACAATAAAACTCATTGAGCCCTGGCTGGTGTGGCTCAGTGGATTGAGTGCTGGCCTGCAAAACAAAAAGTGTCTGGTTCGATTCCCAGTCAGGGCACATGCCTGGGTTGTACAGCCAGCTCCTGGGTTGGAGGCATGCGAGAAGCAACTGATAGATGTTTCTCTCTCTCTCTTTCTCCCTCCCTTCTCCTCTGCTTATAAATAAAATTGAAAAAAAACCTCATTGAAACAAAATTATGTTAGGATTTTAGAACCTTGCACGTTTGGGATATAACATTTACTTATAGCACTTTTAGACTATCTCCGCCCCCCCAAAAATTGTTCTTAATTATGTTATATGCTATTTTAGTGTCTTGAATTAACAAGCTTTTTTTACCAATAGAACTAATTAAATATTTTAAAACAACAACAACAACAACTGATTGCTTCCAATATTTTCAGAAGAGAAACTTCTGAAATGTTTAGTGGTTTTTTGGACTCTAAATAGTGGGGTTGTGGTTGCCTAGGTTGTGTCTGTTGCACAAAAATCTCACTTTAGTGAAAGTGTTTGACTGTTTTATGAAGTTCTCTGAAGCTACATTTATATCAGTTGACAAGTGTTTGACTCTGTGCTATTACAAAGAAGTCTTAAATGTCACTGGCCTTCAATAACTTGATAAGGGAGTTGGAGAAAATATGAAATAATTACAAACAAGTGGATAAATTGTATAGCACTGACTATGACAAAAACAAACCTTTAAAGAAGTGAAAGGTCAGAATGAGTCTTCATGTCAGGAAAAGGTAGGATTTAGGTAGGTAATAGGAGGCCAAAAAATAGACTTTAGAACTTTCACCTGTTTCAGTGTTTCGGAGAGTTAGTCATCGGGAAGTTAAGAAGTCCCTCTCTTTTTCTAGTGGAACCATACTTGATGAAGCCTCTTGAGCACTAGGAATTGCTTAGAGGTTGCACATCATTTTGGGAGGGGATTCTGCTAGCAGCTATGGTTAGAAAGCAGGATCAAGGGACTCTTAACCTTTGGGATCAAGGGGGATTCCATGAAGACAGTGTGTGGGGCACTGGCAGCCAACATTTGCAAACCTTCATGCGTCTGATGAGGGCCTTTGCCCTGGTCCATTGGGTATTTTCCATTAGCCTACAGGTGACCAACTGCGCCAGGCTGATTCATTACTCACATTAACGGGGTGGAGGTGGGGGGTAGGAATAGTCAGAGTGGGTGGGCAGAGATCCCTCTTATTGCTAAGTAGACAGATTCATGCTTTTTTTCTTTGTAGTGTTCACATTTCATGGGGCTCTGGAGTTTTGTATAATGTTTAGTCCTTTTTTTAAAGATCGAGGATAAAGGAGTAGTATTCCATTGTGTAAATGTCCCATAGTTGTTTTATCTACTCATCTACTGAAGGTCACTTGAGCTGCTTCCATATCTTGGTGATTATAAATAACACTGCAGTGAACTTAGAGGTGGTTATGTTCTTTCAATTGAGAGTTTTGAGTTCCTTCAGATATAGTCCCAGAAGTGGGATTGCTGGATCAAAAGGCAGATCCATTTTTAATTTTTTGAGGTATCTCCATACTGCTTTCCACAGTGCCAAAGACGTAAAAGACCTGTACTCGGAAAATTACAAGACATTGAAGAAAGAAATTGAAGAAGATACAAAAAGTGAAAGCACAATAGATAGGCACAATAAACATTAAAATGTCCATACTACCCAAAACAATCTATAGATTCAGTGCAATTCCTATCAAGATTCCAATGATGTATTTCACAGAACTAGAACAAATACTTCAAAAATTTATATGGAACCACAAAAGGGACTGCATAGCAACAGTGATCCTGAGAAATGAGAACAAATTTGGAGGAATCACCTACCTAATATCAAATTAGGTAAGGCCTTAGTAAACAAAACAGCCTGGTACTGGCATAAAACCAGACACATAGATGAAGGGAACAGATTAGAGGGCCCAGAAATAAACCCACACCTGTATAGTCAATTCATATTTGACAGAGGAAGTGAGCACATACGATAGACTACAGATAGTTTATTCAATAAATGGTGTTGGGAAAATTAGATACATGCAGAAAAATGAAATTAGACCACCTTCTTACACCACACACATGAATAAATTCAAAATGGATTGAAGACTTAAATATTAGATCTGAAACCTTAAAAATCATAGAAGAAAACATAGGCAGCAAAATCTTGGACATAGCTCATAGCAATATTTTTACCAGATATAACTACCCAGGTATGGGGAACGAAAAAAATCCAAACCAAAAACAAAAACAAATGGGACTGCATCAAACTAAAAAGTTTTGCACAGCAAAGGAAACCATCAACAAAATAAAAAGACAACCCACAGAATGGGAGAACATGTTCGCTGATACATTTGATAAGGGGTTAATACCAAAATTTATGAAGAACTTACAAAACTCAACACCAAAAAAACAAACAACCCAATTAAAAGATGGGCTCAGGATCTGAATAGACAGTTCTCCAAAGAGGATATACAGATGTCTAATGGACATATGAAAAGATGCCCAATGTCACTAATCATCAGAGACATACAAATTAAAACCACAAAGAGATATCATCTCACACCTGTTAGAACTAGCTATCACCAATAAATTAACAAACAACAAGTGCTGGTGAGGATGTGGAGAAAGGGAGCCCTTTTGCACTGCTGGTGGGAATGCAGACGGGTGCAGCCACTGTGGAAAGGTTAGCTTCTATCAGAATCCTTTGGAGGGCTTGTTAATACAGACTCCTCCTCCCACCCCCGTTTCCAGTGTAGTCAGTTGGAAGTTGGCCTGAGAATTTGCATTTCTAACAAGTTCCCAGATGATGCTGATGACAGTGGGGCTCCTTATTTTAGGTACCACCACCATAAAGTGCTGAGAGCACAGAGATTTTTATTCACAAGGCCTTTATTTTTAGAATTTTAAATAGAATTTCAGTTATACTAATTATCTTAAAATATTTCATTACTATATATTTTAATATATAATGTAATATTTTAATTTTAATAATTGTTTTTTAATACTATAGAAGCATGAGAATAAGATAGGGAAACATGGCTTAAAAAAAGATATACAAATAGTAATTGTCTTTTTCATGATTCTGATCAGTCAGTTGTTTCTTGTAAGAAAGAATTTTAAGAAAACTTGAACAGTCCAAAAGATGGCACCATAGAGCCTGATTTTTTTTCTTTTCTTTTTGCTATAGAAAATGTTTTCTTCCAGCAAGAAAAATGACAGTTTTACTATCTCTTGTTTCACCCTGAAGAAGGTCATAACACTTTGTAGAGGGGATGGCTAATTGTTATATTTCAGATTTCAGAAATTTATTCAGAATATTTATTCAATATTTTAATATACAGTAAAATAAAAATGAATGTTTCTGAGTGCTTCTCCACTTGGTTGATCAAAATTATGTAATATATCATTCCATTGTTTCTGAAAGAGAGAAACAATTTTTTATGAATAGCAATTGGAAAGAATAGTTTATTACATTTCCTAGGAAGACAAATTTTTAATTTCCTTTACCCTTCATTTTAAATATATACAGTCATATTTTCTCAAGTTAATATATAACAGAAAAGCAGATTTGCTTTAAAAATTAAGATTAATTTTAAGTATGTATAGAACAGAAAAATCTTAAATTTTTATTCTATGCATGTAGTGTCACCCACATTTCCCTCCCACCTGAATTGGATTTAAAGAACTTCTGTGTTTCTTTCAGTTCTGCATCTCCCATTCCCGCTGTGTCTCTCTCTCTGCATCACTCCCTTCCATTCTTTTCCCTCCTTCCCATGCTCTTTACAATAGAAACAAAGTTAACTTCCCAAGCCAACTCAAACCAGTGTGCAATATGGTATTTTTGTGTTTCTCCAAAGTGTCTTAAGATGCTGCTAGCAAAGGGTTTTGTGATTGGTATAACAGAAAATTAAAAGTTTTAAGGCACATTTAGAAGGGGTTTGTTCTAATGATTAGAGAAGTGGAAATTGGAATGTAAACAATGAGCAGGTAACAATACCCACCGACTGACTGACTTGGGAGTCAGTGGGTACAAACTAGACACATGGGAAATTGACTAGGGCTCAATTAAATGGGAGGTACTGAATCAGAGTAAGATTAATTGCTGATTAACTGAGATACATCCTTTTCTTATGAAAAGAATTAACAGTCATCAAAGATTTAATTTTATTAATCTATAACAAAGGTCTGTGAGACATAAGAAATGCATCTTTGTTCATTTTTAAAAGGTGTTGTTTTTTCCTACTAGTGACAGTTGAATAGATGACATTTTAAGAAACCATTTTTTTATTATAATAAAATGCTGTGTTTTTCTTAACATTTAATTACTTAATAGAACCTGAGAATTTATGAAAGAACAGATGAAATAATTTTGTTAACTAAGTTAAGGTTTTTAAAGAAGCTTTTGAGTTCAGCTTCCTTTAGTATGGATGATACGGTAGTTCTATTTTTAATTTCTTGAGGAAACTCCATACTGTTTTCCATAGTGTCTGTACCAGTTTGCATTCCTACTAACAGTGTACAATGGTCCCTTTTTCTCAATGTCCTCACCAGCATTTGTTGTCTCTTATCTTTTGGATAATAGACACTGTAACAGGTGTGATGTGGTATGTCATTGTGGTATTGATTTGCCTTTTTGTTGTAATCATTGATGAATGTCTTTTCATGTACTTCTTGACCATTTGTATGTTCTCTTTAGAAAAATGTCTATTCAGATCCTTTGTCCACTTCTTAATCAAGAGTTTTTGTTGTTGTTTTGGATATTAACCTCTTTTTGGATATATGGTTTGCACTTTTTTTCCCATTCCATAGGTTGCCGTTTCATTTTATTGATTGTTTCCCTCAGTATGCAGAAGGTTTTAGTTTTATGTAATTCACC